TCCTTCTTGTGCTGAGGGCTCCAGAGCTGGACGCAGTACTCTAGGTGAGGTCTCACCAGAGCAGAGTAGAGGGGCAGAATCACCTCCCTCGACCTGCTGGCCACGCTTCTCCCGATGCAGCCCAGAGTACGGTTGGCCTTCTGGGCTGCCAGCACACACTGCCGGCTCATGTCCAGCTTTTCATCCACCAGCACCCCCGAGTCCCTCTCGGCAGGGCTGCTCTCAATCCTTTCTTCCCCCAGCCTGAACTGATCGAGTCTTCCACAGCTGTGAGGCCAGTTCAGCTCTTTCGGCACGTTTCTATCCTTTGCACATTGTAACGATGCTGTAAATTCCATCAAGGACGTAACCTGGTTGAACACTAACTAATCCTACAGAAGAAAACCAAGTTTGCAGTTCTCTGCCTGACTCCAGAGTCACACGAATGACAGCACCAGCAACCAGCAAAGCTCCGAAGACGGCAGCAGAAGCAAAGGGGAGGACAGGATTGCCTTTTCAGCAGCCGCATGGACACAAACTGGTTTAAGATGACTGAGAAACTGAACGACAGACAGTCTGTGCTTTCTTGATTTGCATCCTTAGATTGAGAACGATGTCAAAACAAACACCTCTCTACATGGAGACAGGCTTATGTGAAGAATATGGAATCATCTTTACAGCAGGATACACAGTCTCTTGAGACAGATACAGAAAAATTCTGACTGTCTTCACAGACACATTTATGTGCTTCACTGGGAGCTAGAAATGTAAATACCTGAATGGTTATATCCTTGAGTGTGCCTATGGAGTATAACTGCGTGACATCAGAGATGCTCGAGCTGGCTCTGAATTACCCCGTACAGGTACAGGGCTGGAGCACAGGACAAACTAGCTCAGATATCACAAATACCAGCAAAGCACAGAGTCCTAGAATCCCCACCTCCTGGCTGATGTGGCTGGCAGAGGACTGCAGTGATACCTGGTGTATATATAGCTGAGGTTCTGCTGTTACCTTACGCTTCTCTGCAGTATTGAGCAATGCAGACGTACGTTGTGATCTGACCTGAGCAGCGTAAAGTGCTGTTGCAAGAGCTCCGATATGCAAGGGAGCCTGGTTTCCAATACTTTTCTCAAACCATTTGCCCCTTCTCTGCCTCTACTAGCACAAGAATACAAGTAGAGAGAGAAGGACACAAAGA